TTTTCATTATAGTCAGCAGAAATCTCTTTGGCTAAAACTTCTGCCCGTCAATACTAACTTTACCTTCTGCAGTAGAACAAATGCCATTTTTAAATTTTTTCAAATATTTGAACATATTTACCAGCTGATTCCTCAGTCTCTTCAGTAGAGCACTCTTGAGCCCAGTAACTGACAAAGAGTATGCATTACATAAATATTTCTGGAATGAATGAATGAATGAATGAATGAATAAAAGTCCAGCAGGAACTGGAAAGTGCAATACAGATTCAATATAATATTTTAAAATCTATTGTTTTCCATTTCCTTTTCCATTCTTTTTCTTTTTAATGGGATAGAATTCCAATCAATTTAACAGTGATTGTGTGTGTGCATGTGCACGCGTGTGTGCATATATGTGTGTGTGTGGACTTGGAGAATTAGAGAAGTATTATAGTTCCAACACCTGTCTCAGGGTGTGACTCATTCTATGAGTCATAAGAGTTTTTGCCTCTCATTTTCATAATTAATTTATATTTCTTTAATAAACATAGAGTAAGTGCCAAATCTATTCAGAGCATTATGCCAGGCACTAGGGATAAAAAATGAATAAAGATCTATTCTTTGCTCACTGTCAAATGGGAGAGCAGACATACACAGATAACTGAAATCTGTCCCAAATTATAAAATAGTCCAATCTAGTCTTTCCAGGGAAAACTCATCTTTAATAACAGGGTAATATTACTATAAATTTATCTTTTAAAACATCAGGTGAAAAAAATGCAGGGTTCTGCTTGCATTGAACTATTTAAAATCTAATCAAAATTCAGCTATGCAGTGCTGGCTTGCATCAAGTTTTCCTTTAGTTATTCATATTCTCCAACCTCAGGCACCATGAGCATCTAGTTATCTATTAGCTAAGTGGCAAAAACAGGTTATATCATCTGTCGCACAGAGAACCCCTCCTACTCTCTGCATGCCAGCACAGTTACATGAGGGGCAGAGGGCACACGGAGGGGGTGAAGCTTGAAAATTAACCCGACACATTCTCACCTGCTAGGAAACCCGGCATTTGTTCTTCCCAAGTGAAGGTATGTTTCTGAAAATCCATCATCCATCCACAATGCGATGACTCATTTTTCCTCTACTCATTACATTGAACCTGTGTTGAGTTCCTACCATGAGGTAGGAGTTCCTTCCTTCCCGAGGTTGGGAGTGAGCAAGATACACTCTGTCAAGACTGGAGTCAGAAATCCTTCCAATAACAAATCTACTCAAGTCACAGACATGTGTAAAATGACTTCATACTGGCCTTTGGATGACGACCAAGATCCGTGACAGCTACAGGGCTCTGTAGAGCCTGGTCATTCCAGCTCTCCAGTCTCTCCTCTAATCTCCATCCTCTGCCACCCTTGTGTTCTTAAATTCCTTTACCATGCTGTGCGTGCCTCTCTCTGCGCTTCCACATGCTGTTCCCTCGGGCACACTCCATCAGGACACCCCCAACTCATCCCTTTCCCCCCTTCCACTCACTAAGCACACTCTCTTCAAGCCGTAATGTAAATACCCTCAGTTCCCCAGACTTGGAGAGGGTCTGCCGCAAAACACAGTCCATGGCCTCCCATTGCCCTCTGTTGCTGCAGTCAGCTCACCATTCCAGAGTTTGTGCTTAACCATCACCAGTCATGCCTGGATGTGATCAAAGTTATTTCTTACTGCATGTCTCCAGGGCCTCGCTCACAGATGGGGACTTAGTGGGCACAGGTGTATAAACACACATATGTGTATATATATATATATAGTAATACATGTGTAGTGGAAGCCTTTTATCTTATTCAGACCTGTACTCAGTCATTTAAATGAAGAAGGTAGTTGAAGGAGGAAGTGTAAAGACCATACACGTACCTTAACATTTTAGTTTAACACAAAACACATGTATGTACATTTATTTGCCAAACTTTCGATGTAGTGGAAAGTCTTTTTCTTTGCAAATGAAGCTGTGGTTTGGAGTTTTGTGTTGTTTTTCTTGCAAACTATAATCACGATGCATTGGTCTATGATTTGCCTTTTGAAAGACATTTTGCTCAAAGACATACTGCCAATCTCTCTGAGTTCCAGAACTTTCTACATTATTTACATCCCACTCCTGACTTTTCTGGTTGTCTTGACTACCCTTAATTTGATAGCAGGTTTTTTTAGGGAATTGCTCTCCTTAAGTCTTTCATGGAAATAATGTAGTTTTCATAGGGATAACTTTCTTTTTACGGTAAATTTGTGTTTGCAGTATTAAATTAAATTATGTGATTATGATAAATACAGCTAGCATAAATGGGGTTAGGGACAAACTCAGTTGACTTTTAGCAAGTTTATATTCCTAGCTAATGGGAGTAGAAGTGCTGGGCATACCTTTAAACCACTTTTTTTTTTTTTTTTAAAGATTCTTTTTTTTTTAATTAAACCACTTTTTTTTAAAGAGATTCTTTTTTTTTTTAAAAGATTTTATTTATTTATTCATGAGAGACAGAGAGAGAGAGAGAGGCAGAGGGAGAAGCAGGCTCCCCGCTGAGCAGGGAGCCCGATGCGGGACTCGATCCCAGGACCCCGGGATCATGACCTGAGCTGAAGGCAGACGCTTAACCATCTGAGCCTAAGTGAGTGTGATCCAGTCAGATTTGCTGTTGGAAAGATTACGGACTCCAGTCTTGACAGAGTAGATCTTGGTCACACTCCCAACCTCAGGAAGGAACTCCTCCTACGTCATGGACTTCTGAAAAGCCATCGTCCACCCACATTGTGATGACTCCTTTTTCCTCTACTCATTACACCAAGCCTGTGTTGAGTTCTTACTGTGAGGTAGGATGAGTCATCACAATGTGGATGGATGATGGTTTTTCAAAAACATACCTTCACTTGGGAAGAACAAATGCCGGGTTTCAGAGCAGGTGAGAATGTGTCGGGTTAATTTCCAAGTTCTACCCGCTCTGTGTGGTGTGCAGACAGTAGGATAGGCTCTCGGTTCTCAGAGAAGATATAACCTATTTCTTGCCACTTAGCTAATATGTAACTAAGACACCTGTGGTGGCTGGGGTTGGAGAATTTGAGTAACTGAAGGAAAACGTGATGCAAGCCAAGACTGCATAGCTGGATCAGTTGATGGGTAAATAGCTACCAGCTGAGCATGTTCAGGGCACCCAGGCCATCAGTTAGAATGTTTTACTTAGTAAGTGGAGAGTGTTAGCCAATCTGGCTGAGTCAAGAGTGCCATTCAAGTAGAAGTCAGTTAAGACAGTCTTCTCTCATTGTCAAGTAATAAATACCCTTTAGGCACTAAAAACCTGGAGAGACAAAAGCACAGATTAAAATATGGTGAAGCGTGCCTTTAGCAGAAGGATGTGGAGAGTACAAAGGGAATGGAATTGTGTATTTAGGGGAGGACCAGGTAGGGAAAGCCTTGGCTGTGGAAAGTAGTGAATGAGGTCCAAATTTATTTCGTTGGTGATATTCCTGATTTCAAGACATAAAATAGTTTTTTTTTTTTTACAAAATCAGATTTTTTTCTTGTTTTATAGAGTCTTTCCCAAACTAATTAGAATAAATGAGGTTTTGCTTGAATTTGTAAGGCAATGTGAAAATCAGAAAGCTATTATTAGCAGTTAGAACTGCAACAGGGGGCGCCTGGCTGGCTTAGTCGTTAAGGCTCTGCCTTCGGCTCGGGTCATGATCCCAGGGTCCTGGAATCGAGCCCCACATCGGGCTCCCTGCTCAGCAGGAAGCCTGCTTCTTCCTCTCCCACTCCCCCTGCTTGTGTTCCTGCTCTCGCTGTCTCTCTGTCAAAAAAAAAAAAAAAAAAGAATCTTAAAAAAAAAAAGAACCGCAACAGAAAATATGTCCTGTAAACCATGTTGGAATCTTTACCAAATGTATTCCCCCCAAGATTTTCACTAGCTATCTCCCTCCCACAGGTATCAGACATGTGTCCTTGAGGAAGACATCACCCAGTATACACTCGATTAAAATAGATAATGTGAGCCATTCCCAAATTGCTTCTTAATAAAAATTACTTCGAGGCAGGGCTTTAAGATGTATGAATAAAGGTGCATTATGAGAATCCTGTAAGAACACAAAATATGATGAGAATTGTAATAGTGTAAAACTATGACAAGAGAACAAAATAGTTCTGCTTTTGAGGTCTGTGCATCCCTTCCTGGAGACAGGCATCCGAGGGGGTGTGAGATTCGAGTAACTAGTTTTTTGGTTTTTGTTTTTGGTAAAGAATTCGTATCTATATTTCAGATAGTTATCATAACCTACATTCACATATTTCTCTATTCATAGAGAATTATATAGTTCTGTAGGATAAGTGGATAATCCTTTCTTGGATTGCCCTAAGACTATTTTAAAAAGGAGAAAAAATAATTCAGAGTGCATGTTACAGATAGTTTGCTGCTGAATACAACTGTGGAGAGCTGAAGAAGAGGAATAAAAATCGACATTAAATAGACCCAGGACATTTCAGAAAATGTAATCCCTAAAAATGAATTTTTGAACAAATGGGAAATGATGAGAAAAAACCGTAGTCCAAACCATGTCCTGTATTTGGAATAATTCCCTCAGGAAAATGCATATTCAAATGCTGGGGCTCAGGTTCCATTTTCTAAATGTGATAGACTTTCACTCATTTGTGGTCTCAATCTCTAATTCATCGTAGGTTATAAGAGTGCAGAAATGGAAACTGACATTTAAAAATCCTGAGATATTAGTGTATAATTCTTGTTAATAGGATTTGAGTTCATGCCTAATTGCATTTATGATCAATGTTCAAGTAGAGGTGGTTTTTCCATAAAAAAATTTTTTATGCCTAATCAAGCTTTACCAGAGGAAAAATACCACGAATTTAAACTTTTCTACCATTCGTTTTTAAGGTAGCTTTTATCTGATCTAATTAAAAATCAGCTGTGTCATTCTGAAAGTTTAAAGATAAATGTACTATTTAATTTACCCTGGTTTTTTTTCTTTTATGGCAGATTAAATACAAAGAAAAATTTGATAATGAAATGAAGGATAAGAAACATCATTACAATCCTCTTGAAAATGCTTCTTTTAGGCAAAGTCAGCTTGCCACCGCACTGGTGAGCGATGTAAGTTACTTTGTGCCTCATGACTTATGATTCATAGAAAATTATTTTCAATATCTTTTGATTCTTGTTTTTTCAGAATCCGAGTATATTGCAATACCTTATACTTAATCAAGATCATGTAGTTTCCAAGTAATTTTAATTGAAAACACTGAAGCATATTTTCCTGAAGCCTTTTGAGAAACATGTATTATTGTAAGTTACTATTAGTGGTTACTGATTGCTGTTTAGTTAATAAGTAGGAATAGTATTGCTAATAAAACTATTATATGTGATCAAAAGTAGAAATAGATTACAGAGTTTTGCAAAAAAAGTAGTGTGTAGTATCTTAAATTAGTGGTTGTGACAATAGTTAACTCATGTAATTATACCCAGGAAATTGGGCTTCTGTAAAGTACAACCTAGTACATGGTAGTTTATAATAAAGAAATTTTAAGAAATTACACTTGTAACGGCTTATGGCTTCTTTCCTATCCCTTATGTAAATGCTGTGAAATACTCCTTCACGGATTTGGTTTTGGCCTATGTTTTAAAAAAATAATTAAGTTTCAGTTTATAAGAAAAGATGCCTTAAATTTTTATTAGAATTAGGTAGAATGTAAAAACAGAAATGGGGAAAAATGGACCACTTTGCTATTGTTGAAGGGCGTAGGGAGTACCTTTACATGTATTAAGATGAAGAACTGTTTGTTGGATCACTTAAACCTTTTAACTCCTGCCAGGTGGTTGGGACTCAGCGTATCTTACTTTCACTGATGTTTAGTAGGTATTGTTATTTGTGTTCCTTAACTCACTTGTGTTTGTTACCAACAATTGAAATGGGTCTTTTGGGATCATTGGGAATATCAAAATGGTTTACTTTTCTTATTTGTTTTTATCCTGTGTGTGTGTGTGTATAAAAGTGTAAAGCAAATAGATTTGGAATACACTTACAGGAACCTAGAGCATAGTGCTTGGAAGCACGAGGTTTAGAATCAGATTGCTTGGATTTGGATCCTGTTCTACCTCCTAATACTATACCTGCATCTTTCTGTGCCTCAGTTTACATATCTGTAAGACGGAGATACTTAAAGTACCTCTCCACTAGGGTCGTTGTGAAGATTAAATAGGTACTACATGTAAAGTGGTTAGAAAAGTGTTTGGCACACAATACGTGATCAAATATTTTTTATTAATATTTTAATATGATGAGTACTAATATTATTATATTTTCAAAAGAGCTGGTAAAAAAAGAAAAAGGTCTATAAGGCAACAGGATGAAAAACACCAAAAGCCCTGAAATTGCTCCAAAGCGTAATTAAAATACGGTAGTAATTTCTAAAGAATAAAGTTGCTAATCTTTTTGTTTTGAAAACAGAATGTCTATTAAAATTACTTGATTCTGTGAGCACCACCCTTTTAAAATATGTAAACAATAAAGCAATTATCAAAATATGTTCGTCCCCAGAAGTAACTTTTTTACTCATTCAGTAGTAAATGAGCACCATCTAGTGGCTACTTGTAAATTCGCCTCTTAATTTACTACTAAATTTAGGTACTTTATGATGTATTAAAAATAATGATGGCGATAATACAAAAGCACCTTTTCTTCTCCTAGATGGTATTTTGTTCCATGTTATTTTCATAGGTGAAGTACAAGAAAGACATTCAAAGTATGCACGAGCCAGTATCAGATCTCCCAAACCTGTTTTTAGACCATGCTTTGAAAACCAGCAAAATGCTCAGCCGAGTAAGTTTGTTAGATGGCAACTAGAGATGCCGTGTGTCTCCATGGAGCCGGGATGCCTGCAGTGCTCATGAGCACAACTGCTTCCTTCCAGGGCACCACGCCTCCCTGGATAACTAACTCATTGGAAAGTAGTGGCCTGCTTGCTTTAATCCCACCAAAGCTGTCGCTTTACAGAGGGGGTTCTTGCTAGCTCTTTAACATCTCTTGAATGCAAACTTTCTTGTTGAACACCTATGCTTCAAAGCACATGGACAAGTGTTCTTTCTGTCTTTCTTCTTCCCAGTTAGATTGAAGCCACTTGAAGGTCAGGCTTAAATCAAGAATCTTTTATTTTATGCAGGTTAGAGCAGAGTGGCTGATGTCAGGCCCCAGTAACATAGAAAATTGTCTTAGTCTAATTTGTATTTTCCCTGGAAATAAATCCTACGTTACATTGACACTCTACTTTTAATCTTGTGAGGGTTTCCACATTTTCTTCAGAGCAATTAGGGGGAGCCAGTGGTTTTTTCATGTCCTAATGAAAATATTTGTGCACACTGCCAAGTGGTCGTTCCATCAGAACTCACCTCCCAGCTGCTGTTTCAAACACTTAGTGCGTGTGGACCCTGACTTCACCGGTTCTCAAACTGATGACCCCGGCTCACCTGTTCCCCATTGCCGACATCTCAGAATGGCCCATGGTGATGATGAACTGTAATTTGACCTCGAGTTTTTTCTGCACCTATTTTAATAATTACAGGCTCACTCACTCGATCAAAATTATGCAGATGTATTGAATATCTGCTTTGGGCCAGGTACGATCAGATGGAAAATTCTGTTGGGCAAGAAATCTGAAAACAATTGTCTTCAGGAGATATGCTCACAGTCCTGGATTAAAAAAAAAAAAATCTGTAGTCCAGACCTGATTCCCAAACTATTGAATAATGAGATATAGCTTCAATTCAGGTTTAAAAATGTCTACCTTTGGCTTTGATGTGTTGGAAATTCTGTTCATTATTTTGTAATCCTCCTTTCTCCAACGATGTCATCCTTCTTGAAATGGATTACGTGTGTAAATAATTCATACTCGCAGAAATTTTAAAATTAATTAACTGACTTTTATCCCTGGTCTCGGGAAGAAAAGCAGTCTGTCATTCTTGCTGTCTGTTGGGCTGGCAGGGAGGCAGAGAGGACTGTCAGGCACAGAATCAGACTCAGGTCCGGCATACTTCGTTCATGCTTCCTGCCACTTCAAGTCTCGTCCTCCCACTTCTGCACACATTTCTCTGCGCCTCGAGTGGCTCTTTTAGATTCACTTTTTCCTCTATGATTCATAGGGATATTTCTAAAAGTCGGTACGTTTCTATTCTCAGAGCCTGCTGCTTTCTTCACTTTTAGTCTTTGCCATCCCATTTTGATCACGGAGTGGCATCTGCCCTTGACTATTCTCCATCCATACTTGAGTTAAATTTCCTGAGGACATGAGGATTTGTGCACAAATAAGACAGTAAAAATACCATGGTGGTAATTTAAAAATTTGGTAGCTGGAAGAATACATGCCACTCCTAGGCAATATTTTCTTCAAGAATATTGACCTTTGTTTTATATGCTGAAAAAAAAATCACAGCTTAATATAAATTGTTCCTATCACCGCTTCGGCAGAGAAACTCAACAAAGTCATATATTACATTTATTGTGTATACCATTTTAAAAGTTTAAATCTTGGTTCAGGTGGTGCTTTTGCCTAGATTATAGATTTTTTCCCTCCATAGAAAAATTGTGACTGAATAATTACTTCATGGGAGAGAAAGTTTAAGACTAAAATATGTTACGCTGAATATCTGTTTATTAAAGTTGTATGCTAATACATTGGCTAAAATTTATTGTACATTAGAATTGCCCTCTTTTAAATTTTAATGTGGGGAGAATTGGAATCTTGCTGATTTATAAAGGCAACTTAATTTTAGCAAAAGATTGAATAAGAAAGTGCTTAATAGACAGACATTCTGCCAAAATTAGTTGTCAGTTGGTTATAAATGGCTGTTTTTTTAAAGACCTGTAAATGTCTTTGGTATAAATCACCATTTTTTTTTTAACACATAGTGTGTAGAGTAAAATTAATCCTTTTGAGTTTGAACAGCTGTACTAATTAAAGTTTCGAAGGACCATTTCCCTCTGGAAAATAGAGCTCTAGTAGCTTTCGATTTATTTTATAACTTTGCATAAATGAAAAATATGTATTGCACGTTACTCTGTGTCGTTCCCACTAGGAGGCAACAGAGACTATTACATAAGGAGCAGCAGGTCTTGAAAATTCTTTTGCAGATCTTTCTTCAAACACGTTTTGTTTGTTTTTTGTTTTTTAAATGAGAGTTTCTGAAATTTTCCGTCACTAAAATAGATCATCGGGGACAGTATTTATTGACCTTTCCTTAGTCTATATCCATTATTGCAGACATAATATCCTAGGCTTTACTAGTTCTGGATTTTAACTTGGTATGGAGTATATTCTAGTGTGTTATGTTCAATTCATGATTATTTTATTTGCATATTATAAACTAACTTTTAAGTAAATTCTCAAGTCTCTAAGTATACTGTTATTCTTTGAGATTATTTATTTGTTTTTTCTAATTAGCACAGGAGCCAAAATTTAGAGCTTGTTCTCTTCTTGACAGATGTACTATGGGAACATTTTCGTGAGCTTCCTGGGGGCATTTTATTCCTTCACTTTATTCTGGCTAGAGTTTTGGCTGACACACGTCTTAGTGCTCTAATCGCCCAGAAATGCCTCTGGGGACTGATGCTGTGTCCCTCTGGAACAGCCGTTTTTGTGTGCATCCATCCTTCCCATCCCTGGCTCTGGGCTTCTTCTTGGTTCACTCTCAGATCCCTGGAGCAGCAATCCGAATGTCAGCTCTGTTCTGGCCAGCTCTTTCCCACTCCCTTTCAAAATGCGGCTTACTTCTCCTTACATCCTACAACATTGCCATTTTCCCTGAAATCCTCACTGCTGAATGAGCAACAAGCTTTAGCTGAAGTCTCTGAAGCCTTGAGTCTTTGAGAGTTACCATTTATCTCTAGAAGTCTTTTCCAAAAAGGGTGAAATAACAAAGTGTCCAGTCTCCAATGAAAGAAATTACAAAGCAATTTTTGTTTCATCGTGGCCTGTTGTATTTGGTGTCCCACGGTTGCCAGATTTGGCATCTCTTCCAAATTCATCACTTTGTCTATGTCTCTAAATAATAGTCTTAATCCAATTTCTTCACCTTAAAAATTCAACGAACTCTAACCAGACTCTTCCATTTCTCTTTCAGGTACCTCCTGCCCTCTCTTTTTAGGAAAATTAGTTGAATTATTTCTCACTCTCTTATTTTCCTTATGACCCATCAGTCTTCCTCAAGGCTGAACCTTCACGCACAACTTCTTTCCTTTCCTGCCTCCAGCTTTCCTTTGTTCTGTTCTTTCTTCTTTTCTTTCCTTCTCTTCTTGTAGGCGCTATCAGAGGCGCCTTTTGTTCTAGGATAAGACTGGACAAATCGCCTTTATTTTGCCCACCTTGCTTGTTCACTTTAGTCCCATCACTGGCTTTTCCGTTGCCACTCCCCAGCGTCTTTTACATTGTTTTGACAGCTAATTGTCCCCTGCTTCTCTAGGGTGTCTCACATTGACCACCTAGAGCTGCTGGTCTGTGGTGCATTGCCCGTTTCCCTCAGTGTCTGTAATCTACGAGAGCAGCCCACTGCGATGGGACTCGATAGCTTTGCAGTTGTTGGCTTGTATTTTTCAGTTTGCATTCCTAAGTAATGGGTGTTCTAATTGGGCTCTTTTATTCTGAATTTATGTTGATGTTCTCTCTTTTAGCGAGAGTATAGAAAGTTTTTTGAGGAAAACAAAGGAATGTATCATTTCGAAGCCGATGCTCCTGAACACCTGCACCATAAAGGCAATGCCACGCTCCAGAGTCAGGTGGGCACCCTTCCTTGTCTGGACCCTTCAGCCACTCACTGCCATGCACCTCCACTGAGAAGGTGCGGCTGCTGAATAGAACTTACCTCCTGAGAAAGTGAACATCGCTTTGGAAAATCTCAGACTCCACTCTCTCTATATGACTGGGGTGGGAAAGCTGGAACCATGTTTCAGTGTAAAAGCATTTCATAAAATAAGTTACTCCACACAATTTTAAACTTATGATATATCAATTAATTAAACGATGACCAAATCTCATGAGGATTTCAGTTTTTATAGTGCACTCATTTGTTATCATGAGGTGCGAAATTAATTTTCCAGGTGCGAAATTTATTAGAATTTCTCAGATCAGTTAGAAGTGTTATTAAAAATTACCTTACATTAATTAATGTTTCTTTCAACTATAAAATTCTATGTATTCCCTGAAAGAAATTTAAAAAAAATCTTCCCTGCAGACTTTAGAGGTGTTACCTGTACATTTTTTTATTCTGAGTTTCAGTAGTTGCAAAAGATGTCATTCCAGCATCTATTAAGATATAATTTTACATCACTCCATTAAATGTATCCTGTGGAACATAAATTCCTTAATGATTTGATACCCACCTTCGTTAAAAAAAAAAAATTGGCTCTCCCTTAAAGTTTGGAAATGTACTTTTTTTTCTCTTTGTATTCTTATTTTTATTTAATTTTTCCCACAATGTCTTATCCTGGCATATGTTATTACATATCCTAGTATGTTACTACACTTCAAACGCTTTCTTTTTTTTTTTTCAAACACTTTCATTGATCACTCTATCATACTTCTCTGAAACAAAAATAGGCCTACAAATAGGAATTTAAAAACCTGTTACATTTCCTGCTACCACAAAGTTCTAAGTATTGAAAAACTGCTTTTGGATTTAATCATCATTAAAACTGCTATTATTATATAATTTAAGAAACGATTTCAAAAAATTATTTACACATAAGAATTTTAATGAAAATATATTTCTGAATGAAATTAATCATGATCAAAACTTTTCTGTGAATTTAATTTTAAAAGGTATATTGCTAAGAAAAGCTGATCACTCTGACAGCTTACATATAATTCTAGTTTCTCTTATTAAGAAATAGAAAATATCATTTTATAAACTAAAATAAGATGGAGATCGGTTGTAATTGAAATAAATAATTCATGATATTATATTATTAAATAATGCAGGGTGAAACTGAAAGTAATCACATAAAAGCTCTCTGTGTTACCCCATGTCTATGGAAGAAGTCAGCAGTCCCAGAGAACGCTGTCTTCCCTTTGATAGAAAAACAGAGAATCACACCTATGTTTTCCTCCTTGTTCATGATTTACTGATCGACATTCGAAGCCATCACAGGGATCTTTATCTTTCTCTGCCTCTGTCTCTATGCATATATGTGTATACCATGAACGTATACATATTAACCCCAAATATGAGATATAGCTATATATCCCAGGTATTTAAACACTTCATCCAAGTCCTAGAACTACATTTTGTAGTTATAAATTATTTTTATTCCTTAAATATTTTTATATATTACCTGTTTACTTTTTTGTATGTTATTTGCCACAGGGAACCCAGTGACCAACCCAAATGGCCAGAATAATATGACGTTAGAAACTAGGATGATTAATTTTGGATATATTTATTTTACTTTGCTCTATTTGCATAAGGACTTATGAGCGTTATGTGCTTTTTATACTTTTTTCAATGAAGGTTAAATACAAAGAAGAGTATGAGAAAAATAAGGGAAAATCAATGCTTGAATTTGTTGAGACACCCTCATATCAAGCTTCAAAGGAGGCTCAGAAGATGCAGAGTGAGGTGAGTCCTTTTGATTTATGATGAACTGTTTTTTTTTTAAGTTTATTTATTTTTAAGTAATCTACACCCAACTTGGGGCTCTAACTCACGACCTCGAGATCAAGAGTCACATGCTCTCCCAACTGAGCCAACCAGGTGCCCCTGTTATCAACTGTTTGATGCATTTTTGATGTTTTATCATTTGAAAGGAACTAGTAAAATAATTCAGAATGTTGAGTGGGTCTAGAGGAAAGCACACTGCCCAGGAAGACGAGGGAGTCCCCATTCTAGATCCGGCATCTTGTCTGGGTCATTGAGATTCTGTGGCCCTTAGTTTTTCTCATTTGGCAAATACAATATCAGGCCAGGTGAGCTCTTAACTGCCCTTTCACATTCTATGATTATAAAATTGACACTTTCAGGTTGTGTCTGTGTAAATCTATGATGAGTAGAAAGAAAATGAAGGGCTGGTTGCTTTATTTATCTTTTATTTTTCAGTGACAATAGAGCTAACATTTATTAAATACTTACTCTGTGCTAAGCAGTTTGCTAAAGGCTTTATATATGTCAGCTCATTTAATCCCCTCAAGGTAATGATGCTAGGTGGGCATATCCCTAAATTGATAATCATCCACTGAAATTAATTGTCTTGTCTGAAATCACATATCCAGTAAATGCCAATGATTTAGGACCTGGTTGAGTCATGAGTGATTCTCTTTTCTCTCTTCGCTTATTTAGTTGATTGCCCCCAGATCCCCCCACCCTCTCCAAACAGTGACATGGAAGTTTTAAAATATCAAGAGAAGAGAGCAGTTAAGATTTTTTTGTGTATATGCACTTCGTGTTCTACTTAAAATGATGCTGAATCACATCCAGATATTCCCCAAATGGTTTTGCTCTGTCCTAGTGAGATTTCTTCTGTTCTTTTTTTCCCTACATTTTTTGGGGCCAGACACCAGACACAGAAGGTTTATTCTGCAGCCAACATCCAGATTCTGTGGGTACACCAAGTTATTACTTCAGAGGGACAGAAATAGCAGACAGCAGTATCAACCGATTATGGCCCCAGGCCAGGTGTGCTCGGTGGGCACCATCTTTTCTGTTCTCCAATAACAACACCCAAACAGAGAGAAATGATAACTTCTGGACAATGAAACTCCCTAGGAATTTTGAAAACAACATATGTGCTATTTGTTGCTATCTATGCTGCTGTGTGTAATAATTCATCTTCTCAGGGAAAGGGCACTCAGGCATTACCGTGGCTTGTTGAATTGTCCAAGTTGTTTAATTTCTTCTTCAAGCAAGAAAGGAGAAAATTACTTGTATTTCTCATATCTCATAGCTTCTTAAGCCAACAGAGAGGAGTTTGATCAAGAAATTGGTGAATATTTTGATGAAATTAGCTGTTTGTTTTAACTGAATTGGCAGAGAGGTAAATTTCGTCATAGTTCAGAAGCCCGACAGCAACTTACATTTAATGGGATAACTTTTACGGGACTATCTTTGTCTTAGTCAGTTTTGGCCACTGTTAACCAAGTACCACAGACTGGGTGGCTTAAACAACAGAAATTTATATCTTACAGTTCTGGAGGCTGGAAGTCCGAGATCAGGGTGCCAGCAGGTCATGGTTCTGGTGAGAACGTCTTCAGGGTGCCTTCTTGCTGTGTCTTCACATGGTGGAGAGTAGAGAGGGGAAGCGTGTTCTCTCCTGAAGTGTTTGAGGGCATTCACCCCATTATGAGGGCTCCACCCTCATGACCTCATCTGTCCTAATCTCTTTCCAAAGGCCCCACCTCCAAATGCATCCATCACATTGAGGGTGGGCTGGGGTTTCCACATATAGATTTTGGGGTTACACAGACATTCAGTCCATATCACCTTTTCTGTGCTTCGAGGATAGTATGTAAAGTACTGCGCTGTTACTGGAAGGCAGCCTCTGGGTTGAGCCTCCAGAGCCTGTGGCCTGTGTTAGTTCTCACGTCGCTCTCCTCCTGGTCCCCCTCTCACTGATAGTCATGCCTCGTCCTTTAAGGAGAAGACCAGCACCTTCAGAGTGGGCTTTCTGTGTTCTTCCTGTCAGCCCCAGGCTGCTATTATTTAGGTGTTTGTGCTACATCTTCTTGTCTTACTCACGGTGGGAAATGTTCCCCTGTTTTCCTCTCCTTGATCCACTCTGTATTTTCTCTTCTGAAGACCCCCTTTTCCCTCTCCTTCTTTCTCCCCATGGCTATAGTACTCAAACTCTCTGTGGATAAGTCTCAGGGAAGCATGTTGGGAATGCACATCCTCATGCTGCTGCCTCAGGAGGTCCTTCATGAGTCTGGCAGTGGAGCCTGGGAATCGTATTTAACAATATCCCAGGAGCTTCTGATGTCGGTGGTCCCGCGAACATACTTTGAGAAACACGGACTCATTGAAGAAAACAAATCGTCCCCTAACTTAAAGTCATAAAAACCGATGGATTTAAAAAAACAAACCCAAAATATATAGATAATCTGCTTCTCAGAGACTCAGTGGGCAAAGTAGACCAAGTTGTTTTTCTTTATATGAAATGCTCAGTTGATTTTTTTTTTCTATTGGGGGTGGATCCTCAAAAGAGATAGATTCCCCAAGAGCAAATTTCACTATACAGATGACAGGGACTTTAAAGATAGCTTCTGTACTGAAAAAGTGCTATTGTTCTATGTAGGCATGTTTCCTTGTGCCGATCTTGGAAGTCTGATAACTAGCCCTTTGCTTTTACCATTGCTATGGCTACATGGTACAAAAGGAAAATAAAATATTGACAACTGAAAAAAAAAAAAAGCCCACCCCAAATCAGTTCCTTCTGATTGGCTGTTTTGGTATCAGGTGCAAACAGCTGTAGTAATACATTTATTACATGCTATGGAATTCACTTACATCGGGGGCTATGTGGGCCTTTTGTTAATATTGGCTTTCAATCTTTGCTATTCTGATTTCCGCTATTGTCGCTAGGGGGAAATTATCCTTTGCAGAGGCTGAGACATGTTTTCCCTTTAATTATTGCCACTGGCTATAAGACTTTTAAGCTCAGCAGTTATATTTCTGCTCAGCAGAGTTTGAGGAGAGAGAAATCTTTCAATAGAAAATATCTTTGGACCAAATTTATGCTCCAAAGGCTAGAAACATAAAATATCTAAAACTCTTTGTTAGACCAGGGTTGATGTGAAAGATGCCTTTAAATATAGGGCCAATGAGGTGGACGCAAAGAGAACTGTCTGGCTTACAGATGGCTTTTATTCCTACGAGGTAAGCTTGACAATGAGCTTCTTGAACCTTCTCTGGGTAAAGCTAAGTGTTTATGATGTTGGGGATAGCCTATAATTATGCTTCTCTCACTTTTCTTCAAATGCCAGATATAGGTTTAATCAGTGTGTTTTCTAGAAGAAGTCTCTAAATCTGGGCTTTGAAAAGAAAGTTCTTTGTCTTCTGTTTCATAAAAAGCATACTAAAGGTTTTTTTGTTTTCTTTTTCGCCCAATCATGTATTGGCCAATTCCAGTCATAATCAAACTTCTTTAATGACTTATTTCAGCAAAATAAGTTTTTAATAGGAGAAGGGCTTCTTGAAGTGAATTATCTGAAATAAATAAGTATACCCAAATTTTTATTTTTGCTTTTTTAAAAAGACATTTTTGGCTTGGAAATGCCTTAGATTCAGCCTTATAACCATATAATTTCAGTTAGTTCCACATAAAGAAGAGGGTGATTTCTCAGTGTTCTTTGGGAATATCTCTAGTTCCTTTAACTCAGAATGTTCCCAATGCAACTTCTTAATAATCACTTTGTTAAATTTTAGTGTTTCCAGGACATCTATTGTGACCTTTTTAAAATTAAATTAAATTAAATTAAATTAAATTTTTTTTGTGGCTCTTCACAGATCATTTGTTAAATAGTTGCATGTGACATAAATGTAGGAGAGGCAACAATAAGCCTCTCTTATCGTCCCTCATGATTTGGGAGAATTTCTTTAAACAATTACCTATCTCTGTAATAAGTATATTATGAACCTGGAAATGGCCTTTCATTTTGCATTAATAACAGTCTCATGCAGAATTTATTTTTATTGTTTTTGTGATGGAATTTGAATAAAATACTTAGTTGGTAAAATATCAGCTTTTGTGTGTCTGGGAAATATTCTACATGGATGGAGATCTTTGTTATTTAGAGAGACTCTTTTTATAGTCCTAAAGTGCGAGTTGCCATTGGTTTTCAAATCTATAGTTCAAATGCTGGAATTGAGGGAATCTTAGCCAAAGGGTGGCCAAGAATGTCAAAGGGGAGGTGGGGGTATGAATGTCCACCCTCCACAATCACTGCCTCCGCTTTCCATTCCTTGCTGTGAACTCCTACCTAGAGAACAATTTATCGGATTGAAGATAAGACTCCTCACAGTGTAACTTAATTCACAGATGGTAGAGAAATAGTCTCAGTGCCAAAATCATTAAAGGAAAATGTGCTCCAGCCTCCATTACATTTTAGAGATGGTCTTTGCCACATTCACAAAAGGCTAACAGTGAAAGGGGTGATGGGAACCTCAACATTTAGGCTACTGTGCTTTGAATGGCTTTCCATGCAGCCAGTTTTTCTTCTGGTGGATGGATCCACTCCCTTTAGAATGAACCAGTCCAGTGATTCTCAACCAACTTTACGGGCTTTCCTCTCCAATCGGGCTGGGGTCAAACAATGACAGACTAGTAAGATGTTAAGCAGCCTCACTCCGGGTGCTTTCCCAGAGGCAGTTGGTACTTGATGATTCTGCTTTTGTTTGGTAGAATTCTAAAATTTATGGTAAAGTTGGAGTGATTTTCTTGTGGCTGTGAAGACTCTGAGGTGGTAGAATTATATAAGGCAAGCTTCAGTTTTGTTCTGGGAACTCTTGTTCTAATACTTTTCCAATAGTGACGATTATTTTCTAAATTTCAAATTATGTGGTCTTATTTAACAGAAAGTTTACAGAGAGGATTTTGAGAAGGAGATTAAAGGAAGGTCATCACTGGATTTAGACAAGACTCCAGAATTTTTACATGTAAAGTACATCACCAACCTTCTGAAAGAGGTAGGATCTTGTGATTTACTATTAAATATTGTGAAAGAAACTAAAGAAATGACCCAGGAAATATTTACTCCAAAATTCCCTACTAACTGTTTGAGATGTTAATCCATTCCTCTTTCTCTCACTTTGACCTTTATTAACAGAGTTTTTAATTTTCATTAAAAACAGAAAAGTGTGCATTAACACTTCCATTTAAAGTTGGAGGAAGAAATCACCTAGAGTTTCTGGAAAAACTTGAAAAATATTCTGATTTTGTGTTTGTACCTCAAAAGCTCTATAAATAGTTTTATAGCAGTTAGTTGTTTTTTTTTTAATTTTGAATAAAGGGCTCATAAGACTATGATTAAACATCTTTTAATTCATTATAGAAAGGTCCAATTTTAAAAAAGGAACTCTCAGTGACTTAATGAAATTATAACTTTTCTAAGTATACGCATTTAGCTTTAAATTGTCTTCGCAGTTTTTACTTTGTTATGGTTTTTACATTTATATTGCCATTCAGAATGTTCAAAGTATTGTTTTATACTTTCATTTCATTTGATCCCCCCAATTCCCCTTTGACATTGGTAGAATAAGTATTTTTATTTTCATTTTGCCTGTGCGTGTGGAAATCAAGGCTCAGTTACTTAAAGTCTTTTGAAGGTCCCATGACCAAATAAGTGAAGGAATTCCAACTTTCATCCAGGTCATTTGACTCCAGAGCTCTTTCCAAAATTACATTCAGGTCATTACAATTTCTTGTAGGCTATTAGTTAAGCAGAGCAGTAGCTAATTTAATTATAATGGACAAAGAGAAAATAGCATCAAATGAACCCTAGAATTTACTGGAACATGACTTCTTATTATTAAAGGAAGCCTCATCTTTTATCTGGCAAGTTAGTCATAAGTGCAACTCAGTTGAATTGGATCAAGATATATATTGTTTTCATAATGCATTTAGTAAGAAAAAAAAATTCATTAGCAGAACAAAAACCTCAAGTATTAACAGAGACATTTGGATCTACTTAAAATATAACATTAAAATAGATGACATTCAAACTATGTATTAACAATCTGTAGGAAATTACTTGGTTTTATGAATCTGAATAAAGTGGAATTTTTTTTTAAACTTTGGCTACATCAATCCTTTTGGTTTTGTAATTTTCAATTCTTTTTCAACTATGATCTTTTGGTGATTCATATTTTATAGACAGCTTTCAAAGAAATACTTCAAATAATTAATAAGAAGCATCCATTCCTAAGATCTTCCTCACCACTTAAAAGGAAGACATCTTTTTAAAATATGGCACCAATATGGTACCAAAATATACTGGAAGGCAGGATGAAAGGGAAAATCCTGATAAAATTGGAAACCACGCTAAACATGAGTAAAAGGGAAAATAGAGTCTCTGTAAAAAATTAGGAGCATTAATACTCAGGAGTCTGATTCATTCCTCTCTAGAAATATTTTCTCCTTTCTGTGGTCTCTAGAAAGCATGTGACATAGTATATCAGTTAAAGGGTGTCCCAGGAAATTTTGAACTGTAATGTTCTTGTCTAATAGAAGGAATATAAGAAAGATTTGGAAAATGAAATAAAAGGCAAAGGAATGGAACTTAACTCAGACGTTCTTGATGTTCAAAGAGCAAAACGTGCATCCGAAATGGCTAGTGAGGTGAGTATATATTTTTAGCAACTAAGAATGTATGAATTTTCAGCTGACTTCCTTGTCTGTAAATCTTTCTCAAAGATTTATATACATTCCATAACTTTAATGTGCAAGATGATGATAAGTAGCTATGTCCTAGTAGTCATTTCCCAGTCAAGAAATTAAAGAAAAATAAAATAAAATAAAAAAGATGTTCACCATCTGCTTTCCATGTGGTATGAGAAAAATTGACCATTTCCCTGTGTAGAGAAAAATGTATATAATAAACCAGAATAATTGTAGGAGATTCAAGTTGATTTTTTAAGGAAGTGAAAGGCAGAGGATTGGGAACGTGTGTTGTCAAGCTCTGTCAGTTACTGCAGTGAGGTTCGCATGCTCTCCTGCACCCCACCCAGCAGAGCCCCCAGCCCTTGCCTTGGCTGCTCAGTGAGCCCACATAAAGTTCTTTATGAAGCGAGAGTGATGGTTGCTCACTTTACATGGCACTTGTGGAAAGGAATGAAATGCCTCTGAGGTGCTCTCAGTCCTTTCATCTGTGTGTTATGTCATTCCTTTGGTATCAGATAATGGCTCTGTGCTTTGAGGAGAGTCTAGCTGAACTAAGCAATGAGAAATGTAAAGTTGTGTCCCCATAGGTTCATAAACTGAGGTGATGGTGAGGACGGTGACCCTATTAGTCAGATGATAGATGATAGGAACCCAACTCAAACTGGGTGAAGGAACAAAGGGAATATTTTGGCTTATGAATAGAGAAGTCCAAAGTCAAGTTTCCTTCAGGTTGGAATTCAAACGAAGTCTCTCTTCCTTCTTCACTCAGCTCTGTTATCTTCTCTGTTGCTTCAGCCTTGGGAGGCTATCTCCAAGTGATGGCGCCTCCTAACAGTAGGATAATTCCTATCTGTGCCAGTAATCCCAATGGGAAGTGAGCATCTGTTTCTTATAGTTACAGTTAAGGTTCTAGGATTGAATCTCACTGGATCAGCTTCTATCCTGTGTCCACTCCCACCCTGATCATTGTGTCTGGGGCCAGAGGAGTGTAATGTGCTGATGATCTGGTATGGTTCTCATGGTCACTCATTTGTTTAGTTAACTTCTTTGGTAATTTAATTGCATTCTAAGTATAAAAAATTCAAGGGGCGCCTGGATGGCTCAGTCAGTTAAGCATCTGCCTTCAGTTCAGGTCACGATCCCGGGGTCCTGGGATCAAGCCTCATATCGGCCTCCCTGCTCAGTGGGAAGCCTGCTTCTCCCTCTGCCTGACCCCTGCTCATGCTCTCTCTCTATCTCAAATAAATAAATAAAAAATCTTTAAAAAAGATTCAAAATTGTTATGTGTTTAAAAAAATTTACAATCATCTTTGGCTATATCCATATTTTTAAAATAAATTAAAACATTAAAATCCACTATGATGTCTTTGGCTAATATTGTCATCACATATTCCTAAGTTAGTAATTCTGTACAGATTCTTCTGTTATGGTGACATGTGCAGTCCACATTCAGAGGTTGACCTTGTAATTGTTTATCGGTAATACTAGGGAAAATCATTTTAGACTCTCAGTGGCAGAGTCCTTCCAGACACAGCAGAATGGCACGATTGTGGCAGGGGCAACAGTAAATCAGCCTTAGCCTATGAGTGTAGGAGTAAAAGCCCAAAACAAGCTATCAGTTATTGAACACCTACTATGTGCTGAGCACTATGTTATATGCTGTCTCATTGATCCTCAGAGGGCTCCTGCATGGAGGAATTCTTGCTCTCATTTTGCAGATGAGTAAACTGGAAATGTTAAACATTCCCAGTGTCACACAGCAATTGAGTGCTCTGGCCTCCAAGTCAGCCTTCTTTCTACAGCATCAACTCATTGAAAACTGCCTCCCTATCCTCCAGCCCCCAAAACAGTTGTCCGTGAAGATTCTCAGCATGTATAGTAAAAAGCTTTGGAGCTTCATGTACCCTTCTTCAGTGAGAATAGTGATACAGTTCTAAGCAGTCCAGAAAATTTAGTTCTAGGTGAACATTTCATAGTACAAAGTAAAATGTGTGTTTTTTTTTAATATGTTCAGCGATTTTTTGGTATCATTGATTACAGATACAGGTTTGTCCCCAGAGTGTCTGAATATTATAAAATGTTGCCTTTTTTTTTTTTTTTTTTACAGAAAGAATACAAGAAAGACCTGGAGTCAAAAATTAAAGGGAAGGGAATGCAAGTTGGCACTGACACCCTTGAAATACAACATGCTAAAAAAGCTTCAGAGATAGCTAGTCAGGTTAGTTGAATGAATGGTGCAGACGCCTTAAAACCTGTATTTTGAAACTTCACAAATCATATTAACAACCTGATTAGTACATGGAGTTCCCCAAAGCTTTGTGACTGGTTTAAAAGTTTGGAATGGAGACCATTCTAAATCAGCGTGTTTGTTTGAAAATGTATAGTTTCTGCTTTACTCATTTCCTTTGAATATATCAAAGAAAACTAGGGGGAATGCATTTTAATAGAACACACACACACACACACACAAACACACACACACCCTTTCTTACCTTATTTGTAATACAACAAATTTCACATTCATCTGGTCTACAATAGATGTTTTCATACTACCTTTTCTTTAAGGATTGGCCATATGCTGTTCTGCAAATCTGTGTTTCCAACTTTCTGAACAGACCTTGAAAATCACATATTGAGAATCTAACATGCCAGTGATAACCATTTCTGTATGATTTGGTTGCACGTTCTCAAAATACCCCATTGATCTCATCACCATGCCGGAAATTCCTGCCGGGTTAACATTTTGGATTGAAGTGTTCTATATCCTGAATGACCATGTTCATTCATCTGATATTTTCCTCTTCATGTAATGCATGTAATGACAGGATATTAATTTAGAAGTTTTGGCTTCGATGTTATGATAATGACAGATAGCAAATAACAACATTGTAAGAGTCAAACCATATGTGTATTTTTTTGAAGGAAATACCCCAGAACCAGTTCCATGCCTCTTGAACTCCTCCAGTATTTTCGAGAATATAAGAGTGTCACTGGAGTAGAGAGTATTTGGGAAGAGGTGATTTTGTGAGAAACATTTGTGAAGAGAATGTTGGGGTGCAGGTTAAGGAGTGCTGCCCATTTACCTCAAGTCTGATTGGGGGTGTTTCAGTGGGGATATGGTGAGAGCTGTAATGTGACCTTTGCTGTTAGGAAGAACTGGCTCAGGCTGACTCCCCCCAGGAAATCTGGAGGGCGAGAAGAAGCTGATTAACTGTCTGGGGAGTGGTTGCCGTGTTGGGATCTGCTTGCATCCCCAGGGTTAGGGACTGGCCAGGGGAATGGAAGGGTCATAATTGGTTTGGACAAAGGATCTGGAGATGGCATAGGAGTCTTGACCAACAGGGGTTTTATTTAGAAATGGCAGAGTTGGGGAGCGTCCGTGCTGAACAGGCCCTTGAAAACCGCCTTTCATTTGAATCCTCCTTCCATTCTCCTGAAATATAGCCATTGTTGCAAATTTGTAGAGTCTTCTGGATCTATTCTTATGTGCACGTAGATAAACATAACACATATGTACACATAGACTTAAAAAATCCTTAAATACCCTGTATTTTGTTCTGTGTTTGGTTTTCTCACTTAATATTATGGACCCTATTCCATGTTACTTTATATATAGTTCTACCTCATTCTTATAGAAAAATAAGTGTTTCATAACGTGGACGTGAATTTGCAACCACTTACCTTTTGATGTCTCATAGGCTTTACCACATGTAAATGACATGTAAAATGCAGTAACAGGATCTCAATATTATACAATAAAACCAGAATGCTTAATTTCCTCCCAGATCTGCTTTCCTTTTCCACTCCCTTCTCAGCAAATGGTAGCAGCAAGATCTCAGAAGTCACTTGGATTTCTCTTGTCAGCAACTTTTATTGTCTCTGCCCCCAAAATGGTTTCTAAATCCATTTACTTCTCTCCACTCTAGTCCAAGCTATCATGTCTGTCACCCGGATCCCTGCAATGGCTTTTAACCAGAATTCTGCTTCCATTTTTGTCCTCTTCATATCTGTTCTTTACCCAAAAGCCAGAACCATCATTGAAGAATTAGGTTAAATTATGTTACTCTCACTACTTAGAACTCTCCAGTGGTTTCCAGTTATGTCCGGTATAAATGCCCCACTCCTTGCTCCTGCATTTAGAGCCCCCCTCCTGCCATTCTCATCTTGTTCCCCTCTTCCCTCGCTCATTATGATTATGCTCCAACCTCACAGACTTCCAGTCTCTGCACAGCTTTGTTGTCTTCTGGAAAGTCCTTCCCCTGGTCTTTGCACAGTTGTTCTTTCTGGTTATTCATTTCTTAGAGTTAATGGTGGCCTCCTTGGGATTCCAAGTAACACCCAGAAACTATCAAATTACACTTATAATTCTCTAAAATATTTATTTTTTTAAATTTTTTATTGTAATGTTAATCACCATATATTACATAATTTGTTTTGGTGTACTGTTCCATGATTCATTGTTTGTGCATAACACCCAGTGCTCCATGCAGAACGTGCCCTCCTCAATACCCATCACCAGGCTAACCCATCCCCCCACTCTCCTCCCCTCCAGAAACCTCAGTTTGTTTTTCAGAGTCCATCATCTCTCCTGGTTCGTCTCCCCCTCTGACTTATTCCCCTTCATTCTTCCTCTCCTGCTATCTTCTTCTTTTTCTTTTTTCTTAAAATATGTTGCGTTATTTGTTTCAGAAGTACAGGTCTGTGATTCAACAGTCTTGCACAATTCACAGCGCTCACCGTAGCACATATCTTTCCCAATGTCCATCACCCAGCCACCCCATCCCTCCCACCCCCGACCACTCCAGCAACCCTCAGTTTGTTCCTGAGATTAAGAATTCCTCATATCAGTGAGGTCATGTGATACATGTCTTTCTCGGATTGACTTATTTCACTCAGCATAACACCCTCCAGTTCCATCCACGTCGTTGCCAATGGCAAGATCTCATTCCTTTTGATGGCTGCATAATATTCCATTGTGTATATATACCACATCTTCTTTATCCATTCATCTGTCGATGGACATCTTGGCTCTTTCCACAGTTTGGCTATTGTGGACATTGCTGCTATAAACATTGGGGTGCATGTACCCCTTCGGGTCCCTACATTTGTATCTTTGGGGTAAATACCCAGTAGTGCAGTTGCTGGATTGAATGGTAGCTCTAATTTCAACTGTTTGAGGAACCTCCATACTGTTTTCCAGAGTGGCTGCACCAGCTTGCATTCCCACCAACAGTGTAGGAGGGTTCCCCTTTCTCCACATCCCCGCCAACATCTGTCGTTCCCTGACTTGTTAATTTTAGCCATTCTGACGGGTGTGAGGTGGTATCTCATTGAGGTTTTGATTTGGATTTCCCTGATGCCGAG